AGGCCGGGCCGCGCTCCCCTGGCCGCGGGGCGTATTCGCAGCCCGAACCCTCTCAACTCCGCAGTTGCAGCCAGTGAGTTACCGAGGCTTATTCCTGCCGTTTTTTATCCCTTTACAGATAGCTGCATGCTACTGCTCGGTGCCCAGCTGGTTCGCCGGCCTCTCCGCTGCATCCGTGCGTTGGAGCGCCTGCCCTCACGCTCCCTCATGAACCTCCAGGAGCTCGTTTCTGCCCTGAATGACTTTGCGTCCCTCTCTCTGGCTGAAAGCTGGGACAATGTGGGGTTGCTGGTGGAACCAAGTCCTCCCCACGCTGTGAACACCCTTTTCCTCACTAACGACCTCACTGAGGAGGTGATGGAAGAGGCAGTGCAGAAGAAGGCAGACCTTATTCTTTCTTACCATCCTCCTATATTCACACCACTCAAGCGAGTAACGTGGAAGACCTGGAAGGAACGGCTGGTGGTGCGAGCCCTGGAGCACAGAATCGGGATTTACTCTCCGCATACTGCATACGATGCCATACCTCACGGGATCAATAACTGGCTAACAAAGGGACTCGGTGAGATTCTGTTAAAAACAAACAAAAAAGTTTAAATTATTAATCAGTATACGTTATTTTATGTGGGGACCTTCCCTCATTTTCCTTTCTTCCAGCTTTTACAGGTATGATTTGAGTATTTTTTTTCTTTCTTTTCCCAATATTCTTCTAGTACTTCTAAATACCCTAAACGTATTTTAAGGAATTTATGTTGGCCAGGAATACCAGACATTTTCAGATGTGTGACTGTACTATTGGCTGTAGTCAGAACTGGTACAGCATATTTATTGTCCATCTTGGTTGCAAAGTTTAGACCACTGACTTTAAAGCACCACTTTTAATTTAGAAAGTGCAAGATCTCAGTTTGCAAATGACTTAAGGTAGCTGAAATTCTTTTAGATTTTTATCCTGCATTGTGGCTCATAAGTGAAAACAGCTATGTCTTTTACAGCCCAAAAACTATTTTAGTTTTGTACAATTCTTAGGATAAAACAGATGGCATTAAGAATGACAAATAATACATATCCATCAACTTCTTTGCACTTAAAATAGACCGTGTATAATGGAGACAACAGGGCAGTAAGTCCTCAGTTCTGGTCAGGGAAAATGGATTCAAGTGCAAAATTTGCATCTCTTTAGGATATGTGCTAAATCAGTATTATGATATTTATCCAGCTTTATAAAACAGCAATCTTGTACTGTTTTCTCAGGTGCCTGTACTTCCATCCCGCTGCATCCATCAACTGCACCAAGCTCTCCAGCTGAGGGCAGTCACCGGGTAGAATTCTGCACAAACAATGAGCATCTGGACACTGTCATGTCCAAAATCAAAGACATCCAAGAGATCTCCTGTGTCACCACTCTCCCTGCCAGGTATCTGCTTTGCTTTCTACTCTTGTATTATTTCTGTTGTTTGAAACAATAAGTTACTGGAATTGTATTTTACTGTTGTAATTGTTTTGTTCCTCTGTGCATTGCTGCTATTTTTCAGCAACAGATCTAGAAACACACAGAATAATCATCCCTTTCTGATCAATCTATGTTTTACTAAATGGTAACAGCAACTCAGTGTAGCATCATATAGATTAGAGGTGGTAAAGAAGAGTATTAACAGGAAATTTGAGAAAGACGAGTTAAATTCTCATATCTGTTTCTTGCAAGAGAGTAGATTAGACTAGACTAGGCTATTACAATGCCTTATTTTTTTTCCTTTTTCTGTGGTAGAATAGCCACAGGGATAGAATACCTTTGTTTTATATTAATATGATGCTGAAATTTTATCCAGTTTCTTAGCAAGCACCAAGCATATCTTTCCTCAGGGTTGAAGGTGAGGAGCAAACACGAGTCAGTTTGAACTGCTCTCAGAAAGCACTGTTGGAGGTGGTGGCATTATTGTCCCAGAACAGCCTTCTTTATCACAAGACCGAGATTCTTTTATTACAAAAGGTAACAAAATCATGTATTACTTCCAGTGAATGTATTACTTGTGTGAGCTAAGTGCCCTAAACACTGAAATCCAATAGTTGGTAACATCAGAGGTTTCCTATGCTACCCCATCAGTGCTCTGAAATACTGGCCTGTGGGGATTTGAAGCCATGCACATTTTCCAAAACCATGAAAATAGCTGTGTGGCCTGTACCAATTCTTAAATCAGTTCCAGGAGCTAGTATGGTTAGTATGTTACATACAAGAACATCACGTACATATTTTTCCGTACATATTCCTTCTGAATACCCAATATACTCATCTTTGTACAGCATGGAAAGCAAAGCAAATTTTTTGAGTCAGCTTTCTCACAGTAATTTCAATTTATTTTCAGCCTCTTCTTCCCCATACTGGAATGGGACGTCTGTGCACACTGAGTGAGCCAGTCTCCTTGTCAGACATAATCGAGCATATCAAAAGCCACCTAAAATTAACCAACATCCGCCTAGCTGTGGGAATGGGCAAGACACTAGGTAAACAAGCCTGCAAGTAAAGCTGTCCATTAGAACTAGTATTTCAGGAAGACAAGGAGCGTGAGCGTGTGCATGAATGTGTGAAATACTGCTGCCTTAGGTAAGTTTACTTCCAAGTAGTATGAAGCACCGTTAAAGACAGGAAACAGCATTTTAGAATTTATGTGATATAATCACACAAAAAGAATGTCATCTGTATTTTTAACTGGAAGTTCTATATTGTGCTGGTCATCACTGTGAAGAAGGGACAGCACAAATTGAATACAAGGCATCCTTCTTCATAATTTGCATAATGACTAAGATTTTTTTCTCCCCAAGATATTAGAGACAAAGGTGTACCTCTTCTTTGTACACTCCCTTTTGTGACTGTTAAATTTCGAAGCACCTTAAAATAGTAAGACACTTTATGGCATCCTTATGAACATGTAACCATCCATGTTTCGATGAAAGAGGAATGGTAGCAAAGAAGGTGAACTATCCTAGCTCAAACAGGGGGTCACTAGTAAAATGGGGAGCAAGCGGCCTCTTGTTCCAGTTACCTATCCTGATCTCCAAGGAGCACAGCTATTAGAATTTGTGAGAGCAAAATTGTTGAGAACTCTTTGTAAGTTATGAGACAGAAATCTAATTAGAAGCCTCTCAAACTAATAATTGCACTAAAAAAAATACAATTTTGAAGCCTCTCATTATGGTGTGGGATTGTAAAGGTGTGATTCCACTTAAATCAACAGTAATTACATGGCACCATACTGTAAAACCTCACTTAACTAAATAACACCTCACTGAGAGAGCTAGCCAGCAGCCAGCCTCCATGCTGTAGTTTTCTGCAAACTTTCCTACCCCTTGAAGAAAAAAATCTACACATCTCTTTGGAACATAGAGGATTTTGCTGTATTATCAGAGATGTTCTATGGGCCCATGACTCTCTGAAACTGACAGATATGTCTTGTCCTCCAACAAATTTACATTGACCCTAAAATCAAGGTAGTAAGTTATTCTGAAACAGTTAATAGCAATACTGACATGAGAGCTGAACAGAGGGAAGGGAGTTCTAACTGCGGCACCTTGTGTCCTGCAGAATCGCCAGTGGAGAAAGCTGCTCTGTGTGCTGGTTCTGGGAGCAGTGTCCTGAAGGGAGTGGAAGCTGACCTCTATCTCACAGGTAAAATATTATGTTGCTGTTTTGTTATCTTTATAAAAATAGTCACTAGGAAAAAAAAAAAAAGGAAAAAAGAAGAGTTGACTGGCTGTTGAAAGATTGGGCCAGAAAGAATTACCTGTTATAACTCAAACAATCAGTTACTGGAATGACAGAATCGAATAATGTTAAAGTAGAAGTAAGATGGATCAGATGGCTGTATGGCACAGTGAAGGCTATTTGAATTAAAACATTGATATACACGCATTATTTCAACACAAAAGTCAGTGTTGATGGCAGGCTATTGCAACCTTCAGTGTGTTTCTCGTTTGGCAAGATACAAGGTATGTCTTCAGTTCCCTACAGAATTCCCTAATGGAGACAAAATATAATGTAGTCTACATTATCTTCCCAAGGAACCCCATAGTGCATCTGACCAAAGGAACACTTAGTCCGTCATCTTTTTTTCTGACGGGTAGTCCCTGCAGCTTTCTCAACATTGTGAAGGCTACTTTGTATTCTGTAGGACGTATTTTGAGCAAGTTCTTTGGCAAGGTAGGTCCCTTCTGCCCCTTATATACAGCCCTGCAGAGCTGACCCTCAGACAGTTGCTTCGCAAGGCTTCCCAATTGCTGTCCTCCATCACAGCAACCCACATGACATTGACAGTCCACTTCCAAACCGCTATGTGCACTCTTATTGCCTGCCCAAAGTGGCAGAATCTACCACTATTCAAAGAGAGCAACGAATTTCTGTGATTTTGTCTCAGTTGTATATGGGGGATATCAGCCGAAAGTCCTTCAAGGGACATTAGAGTAGGAGTGTGCCATGTTCTTAGACTGAGCAGATGGTGTTTGATTCCCCCTTATGGCCTATATCCCCTGTTATCCCTTCCCAGCTTCTAGCTAGGATTCTGCATACATTGCAAATAACTGGTTACCTGAACTGCGCTGTTAGTGACCTACATGGCATTTCTTTCTCAAAATGGCAGGAGAGATGTCCCATCACGATGTTCTGGATGCAGTTGCCAACGGGATAAGTGTTATTCTGTGTGAGCACAGTAACACTGAGCGAGGCTTCTTGTCAGAGCTGCGTGACATGCTAGCTATCCACCTACAGAACAAAATCAACATCCTTGTGTCTGAGAAAGACAGAGATCCCCTCCAGGTGGTATAGGAAAAAAAAAATGAGAAAATGCAGTCAAGAGGTTTGTGGTATCTTGCACAGACCTAACCAACTGCAAGCTTAATGAAGATGCTCTGAATTGGTTCAGTACAGAATGACTGTATTATACGTTCCCTCAAAGTCCAAGATATATTTTGTCATCTGTCAGATAAATAAATGCTTGTTTTGGGCTACTGAGGGCTGATTTATTCAATTACGGGGCAGCACTTCAATAAATTTACTGTTAACTGCATACTCTTATTGGATATACTTGATAACCATGACACTCAAACGCTGGTGTGGGTAAAATATAAAAGCCTGACTTATCTCCGGTTTTAAGCTTACATAGCAGTTATACCCTACTGCAGCTGTGTCTGATCATGTCAGTACAAGTCACTGGTATTTTAGCTAATAAATCTGGTAATAGTTAATGAAAGGGTGTGGATCACCCATTTGCATTAACAGTTTTATTAAGACACCACTCATGCAAATATAAAACACAGTTCAGTTATTTGGTACTAGTATGCAATTGCACAGTCTACCATTTATACAACTTTAAAGCTTTTTAACAGAGGGACTCTGAATTAAAGAAGCTTTGGAAGGTTACAACTCAATTTGTTAACAAAGCTGTATATGTATTTGTGTGTCTTTGTTACTTTCATTTAAAAACAGTTTCTGTAACTATGGCTCTTAATTACAGGATTACTAAAACTGACCAAGCAGCATTTTCACCACTGATAATGCTTGCTTTTTATTTTTTAAGTTAGTTTTTTTTTTGTTGTCTTTTTTTCAAAGAAAAATCTCCCAGTTGCATACCTTACCCTCTCTGGACTGTGTGCACACCAGAAGAATATTTAAACAAAATGAAAATATTTCCATTGCACATTTGTAAAGATCTTGGCACCATCCTTTTCAGTTTAAGTTAATAAAACTGGCTCCTGTCAGGCTATGTCTTTACCACATAATTGCATATGTCTTGTTCCACTATATAAGCAACAAGAGGTGACTCCAGTATTATCTGAAACTACTGAAGCTACATAAAAGACATAATTCTTATCAGTACCATGAAGACCTGTCAGTAAGCTGAGGAACAGGAAGTGGGAAGAAATTTCTTCTTTCCCAAGTAAAGGACAGGACTGTAGAAGTGATCCCTCCAAATGCAACAATTCTGTATTGCTACAAAAGACATTAAAATGCTACTACCTTAGTACATACACAGAATTCAAGAGACAGAAAACCAATGCATAGATGGGGCAGATATCCAGCAACAGCATGAAAATAGGATAAAAGACGTTTAACACAAACCCCACAGGAATTAATTCACAGTAATTTTCTTTAACTTGCATGTTTGCATCACAGAATCAGCAGCAGCCAAAAACTGATTCAAACCTAACCTTTCCTCCTTTTGGCCTGTATGGGCATCTGGTAGGCTACCAAAACTGTTGGCAGATAACTCTAAACTCAGGATGATTGTAGCACTTCATTAAATTAAATTTCACATCTAGAAAGCCAGATATAATTGCACTGGAAATGCACCATGGTATCACCATCTATGAACACAGTAGGTGGTGTCTTCCCTATGTACTCAGAATATAAATTAGATCTTGATTTTCATATGAACTGTGGAGAGAGTCAAAGACTACAAAATAGGATGTGGTTGCTGCTTAGCTACAATACTTTTTAAGTTTCTGCAGCAACACATCTTTACAAGTGTCAGAGTTCGTGAACCTAACTTAACAGAACGTGGGTTGATCCCAGTGTTAGTGGTTCTGAGGGTAGCCTAAGTAGCAATTTAGTAGCCTAAGATGCATTTTGCAAAGTTTTGGAATTGCAGCCTGTAAAACACAGATGCAAGTGCCACCAAAAGAGAATGTTAGCTGGAAAACATTCCAGGGGAGGAAGCTGGTGAGTACTGCTGGCATGTACCAGTTTTCCCCATCAGACTCTCCAGCAAAGCTATTTAGGTCCTATATTTGAAGAAATCAAATTGTCAGTGGGATAAGTGGATACCCTGTGTTTTCAGTACAAACAGAAGTCACACTGTAAACCCCGGTGTTTCTTCTGTCAGTGAGGGGTAGACCAGGTAACAATATTATTCCATGTGATGTTTTGGTACTCTTCAAAAGCTACATACTGGTATTAAAAGGCAGGCAACCTATTTCTGATACCTTATAAGAAACAATATAAAACATTTGTACTAATTAGTTTCGAATCTTTGCACACTGTATGAGGATTTGCACCGATATTTGACATAATAATGAAAATAAGGCTTTCATACAATTACCAGAAGGATCTTTATCTTCCTATAACATAAAAAGATTGTGGAAGACAGGACAAGCTAATGAAAATTAATAAAGTACTTTATTGGATTGATTTGAACTATTACAACATTTGGCGGTAACACAGCTACCAAATATTAGGCATACAGATACCCTAAAGTCTGGCTGGCAGACTACAGCTGATGGAGCTATAGGGCTTACTCCCACATACCTGAGAAAAAAAGTGACAAAAAGCTGTCAAACTTCAGCAGTCTCCCAACCTTCAAGGGCTTAAAAACAAGGGAGAGCTTACAAGTGGCATTTAAGGCCTCCCCCAGGATCAATGGACACTGCTGTTGTAAAAAATGCGTATATACAATCAAGCTTTGAAAAAAAAATTAAAAAAACCTTCAGTTTCTTCATATTCTTGCATTGCAACTTGGAAAGTAGATCCTCTCACCCCAGCAACAGGAAATAACTTGAGTCCATCACAGTTTTGATTATCTAAATGTTCTTATAAAAATATTTGTGTTTGGGGCAAGTCCTTCAGTTCTATTGCCAGAATTTAATAAGTTACCTACAGTGTCCCAAACCCACTGGTATTCTCCTTTCCTCATGTAGTCAAGGCAGCATTATAAATCTTGGCTTCTTCATACACTGGAAGCTAGTCTTGTCTAAGTGGTAAAGAGAGTACTGGAAAGCACTCAGTTGAGAAAAGCTGCACCAGTAGTGCAAACTAAAGCTCTGACTATCTAGTGATTTGCACTTCCCAAGTAAACTGCTCCAATCAAGCCCTCACGTCTGGTGAGGTAGAGAGCAGAAGGCACAATCTTACCAATTTTGTTTTTCTGGCCATAAGGTTGGCTGCATACATATGAAGAAGGCATCGTCTGAGCTAAGAGACAAAGCAGACGAATCTAACTACAGAGCCAGAGATGGCCTCCTTACAGAAGTCATAATTCCAAACTACCAGAAGTAGTTGAATGACGAGCATCATTCATTACAATTATTACATTTCAGTAAGTAGTCCAGCATCCTTGGAGCTGGAGGGAGAGAGATCTGAGTATAGTCCCCTTGAGAGCAATTGCCTTAGATTCTTTGAGAACAGAGAGACGTTATACATCTTCATCCTCTTTCTCTAAGAAGTCGGTCAAGGTATTGTCATCTACAGGAATTAATAAGTATTCCACACCATCAGCTCCCTGAGAACAGACACGCACACACATTCTGTTAACACCAGGGCACAGTGTGATGCAAGCCACTAGATAGCACTGCAATGCTAATGTTTATTTGCAGTCTGGGTGGGAGCTGGCCAGCATTCAGGACCACATTGCTAAAAACTGGGAATATTTCACTAGAACAACACTGGAAACGCACAAATAATGAGAAAAGTCAGGCTATAAGAAATCTTCCGGTGGGCTATGCTAGTCTGACACTGCACAGCTCCTCAACACTGTGTTCCCATATCTAATACGGCTATACTGCCTCATTGTTGGGAATAGCCTGCGTTCTTCCATCGTGCAAATACAGGTAACAGAAGCAGACTGGCAAGCTCCAGAGTCCATTACTTCTCAAGGTCTTCAGGAAGAAGAGACCTATAAGTTGCTGAGTAACCAAAGCACACTGCATTTTTACAGCCCCCTACCCATGTAAAAGCTGTTGACAAACTGGAGGCATGGAAAGAGCTGCAGTTACAGACTTTCAGCCCATTGCTAGTTCCTACCTGCTTCATAGCCTCAGCGTGAGCTGCTGGTGTCTTAGGGATACTTAGTAGCAAGTAAGCATCTTTTTTGTTTAAGGTGGCTGAATACCCAGAATTATCTTCTTCCCCCAACTCACCCGCTTTGTCCGGATGAGCTTGTGGTCCTTGAATTCTGTTAGCTGTGCCCTGAGTGTCAGGTCACTGTTCACAAGGAAAGCCTCCCGACACTGCTGGTAGAAGTCTTGGAAAGACAGCCCTTGTGACAGAAAAAAAGGGAGAACAAGAAATTGAAGTGGTAAGATTGGCAGATATTTCCAGGTTTAACACCACATATAATCTCCACCTACAAATCTTGCTTTGGCTTAGACCACAGTGGCTACAGTATCATCACTTATATCATCACTTCTTTCAAGTATACAGACAAGCTAATATTTCAGTAATGAATGGAAAACAACTGAATTAATGTTCCAGTCACCCTGTTTGCCTAATAGAATTTTAATAGCACTTTAAATGCACTTCTCGATGAGGTTGATCTCTCTTAGTTGCCAACTCCTCTATCTTACTTCCAATCTTCTTTGCCATTAACTTGTTATTCATATTCCCTGCGGCATCTGTTAGAGACAGTGACAGAATATTTGACATTGTATCCTAGAAAGCAGGGACACATCAGAAGTCACTTAGATAGGAGCAGCATGGGAACAGAATCTCCTGTCTTTCCCTGGTCCTTGAAGTGCTAGTTATGCAAATTCATATTCTTCCTTTATTTTAATTTTTTAACTTCACAGTCCCCCATGAACGGTCTCAGTCATGTCTAAACATCAAAGCAGACAACAGTAAGAGGAGATCCTTCAGAACCAGCCAGTCTATTGATTTCCTGTCAGATTCAGACACAATACCACTAGTAAGACAGTCTATGCTACTGGGTCTTCACTGAGCCAACAGAGCACTTCTGTTGCTGGTGATGTAACTTGCATACCAAAAGCCAGTGCCCCTGTGATTGAGCTGGCAATGGCAACACTCCAAACAGATGAGAAAAGGTGGGTACATACCTGGATAAGATGGGCTGTCCTTGTTCTCCAGCTGGTACTGAGCAAGAATTCTGAATATCCCCCTAAGTGAAAAGAGGAGAGGGGAAAAAAAAAATCAAAGGAAAACCAAACCCAAATAAACCCAAAACATCCCACCATTAACTGATTTTTCTCTTATGACCAGGTTCTCATCACTGGACAA